TGTCGAGAGATTAGTTTAGTTTAGACTTCTGGTCTATCGCTCGCTGTAAATTGGAATAAGCAAAGTCCTTTCATTGTCAGACGTCTCAGCATGAGTTATGGCGCGTTTCCACCGAGCGGTACGGTACGGGTCGGGTCGGTACCCTTTTATTTGTGTCTCCACTGCCAAAAGTTGAGAATGGTACCAAAAATCCGAACCGTACCGTACCACTTTTTGGGTACCCTTCCGTTGGAGCACCTGGCACAATTGTTTGGTACTAAAGGGCGGAGCTAGACTCACTGCAGAGTGTTGATTGGTTGAAAGAGTGTCGTCATTTGCGCGTGCCGCAAGGGGAAAGACGACACACGTAACACACTTGCAGCATGTAGCCTTTGCTCAAACAAAGATTTTTGTCTCCTTGTGACAAACAGCCACATATGGAGAAGCAGGAACAGGATCGGCTGTACGTCCTCCATTGTTGTTGGCGGTTAGCTTTCAGTTTTTGCGCGATCGAATGACGTCAATCTACTTTCCGTCATGTACCACGCCTATCAAGTGACGTCATCACTAACTTCTGGAATACACCACGCCTATCAAGTAAGGGTACTGTTGGCGGTGGAAACGCTCGCCAAATTATGGTTAACAGACCCGACCCGTACCGACCCGACCCGTACCGTACCGCTCGGTGGAAACGCGCCATTAGTAGGTTGTTACAAACGAGGAGTTCATGTCTCAGCCTGAGTTAGTAGGTTGTTACAAACGAGGAGTTCATGTCTCAGTATGAGTTAGTAGGTTGTTACAAACGAGGAGTTCATGTCTCAGCCTGAGTTAGTAGGTTGTTACAAACGAGGAGTTCATGTCTCAGCCTGAGTTAGTAGGTTGTTACAAACGAGGAGTTCATGTCTCAGCCTGAGTTAGTAGGTTGTTACAAACGAGGAGTTCATGTCTCAGCCTGAGTTAGTAGGTTGTTACAAACGAGGAGTTCATGTCTCAGCCTGAGTTAGTAGGTTGTTCATGTCTCAGGCTGCTGGTGTATTCGTAGGCTGCGTATTAAAACAACCCCATTTCATTTATAGGGTCCCACTCACTGTGGTTAGTTGAGAACATGATCCATACACGTCTCATGCCTCTATGAGAGGAATGCTTCTTTCATTGTGAATTTGGTGGACTGGCAGAGGATCAGGTCTCGGTGGGACGTCTATCAGAGCTTTATTATAACGTGTTACATCATGTCAACCACAGAAAGTAGCAGCCAGGACAGCGTCAGGAAATGGCTCCTCACCACTGTGACTGAGTGAGTATCAGTGAGACGATGGATGTTGTGTGTTCTGTAGGACTGTGGACACCAGATACACCAGCCAGCTGCTAATTACACATAAAAAGTAAAAAATAAAGCTTTTCCTTCTGAAAGTAAAACGTGAAGTATATTAAGAACCAAACCAGTGTCTCCCTTCATTCCCTCAACGCATTAATCATTCATCTGTGCCTTGAATAACAAGATATAAAGTAACTAATTCACGTACTGATAATAGTTAACTAATATAGAAATAATCCCTTGATGTGGCTCTAATGATCTGTATGAATATTGACTGAATGGATGAACGTTTTACTTTGTCTTCATCTGACTTCAACTGATCATTCACTCTGGCTGTAATGTGCTGAATCAGAAACCAAACACCACAGCATGTGTTTAGCGCGTGTTGCACAGCATTTGTGTGAAAATATATTGGCCACATCCCTGTGTGTGTGTGTGTGTGTGTGTGTCCCTCGTTGTGATCACATGTGACCTGTGTTTGCAGAGCGGATGCAAAGCGGGTGGTGGTGTGTGGAGCTGCAGGTACATGTGATGCTTCTTACTGTGTGATCCAGTGGTTCCAGGTGGGGAGGAGAGCAGTGAAAACGAATGTTAGAGCTGAATGTATGAGGTCACAGTGATTAGACGCTCATAAAGCATCTCCCTGTGTGAGTAATTCATTCATGTTCTTCTTGTCTTTTTCTGTCAAATCCAAATTTAATTTAGGTATTTATTCCGACCAGTTGATACAATTCATCGCCAGGGGCTGAAGAGTGTTTTCATGGTGCAGAATTTGAAACGTCTGATGAAAAGACCACACAGAATTTAAACCCTGCAGTATTATGTAACATAACCGCTCCCCGACCTGCACAGAATCTAAACCTTGTACGCGAGTATTATCTGAACTATTCATTCAAACAGCATGCAAATGGTGGTTTAAACACCATGGGAACGGCCTCTGGCCGCTCCTCCCCCACCTCCAAGTAAAGCTGCTGCTCAGCTCTTTGCTGCTCAACATAATGCCTCATTTATACAGTCCAAAATCTGCTGACCCCTGACCTGTAAATGCATTTACAGGATTGTCAGTTACACTCAGTGTGTTTACATGATGGTATAATTGGAATCTTTGCTTAGTCGGACTACGCTATCTTTCGGGGGGAGGTGCTATTATCCCAATATACATGGCAGTGAATAAATCGAATTATTGGCTGAAAGCATGTCATATCCGATACGATAGGTGGCGCTGTTTTCATTACAACTAGTTGTGATACAGCCATTTCCGCTTGACCGCTTCACCACTACCAACAACAACAACAACAATAACAACAACATTAGGAGAAAGATGGCGAGCGGAGAGCAAGCTGAAGCTACGCAAAGTCCAGTTCCTCATCCGATTCACCGTTACATGCCGCAATAGTCGAACTATCACCTGGATCGGATGGAGTTATCCAGGGGTGTCAGTCGGATCGTAGTCGGACCGCACATAGTCGGACAAAGGTGTTTACATGAAACGGATCATTCCATTTCAGTCCGACTAAGCCAGTTATTGGAATCCATGTAACCACGCTGACTATCATTACTGTATTTTCCACTACTATATATCAGTTTTCAAATGCATTTACAGTTCATTCAGGAGTTCATTGCTTCCTTTATAGATGAAGCTTCTCTTATGATTTATGAGGAATGTAAATGACACAAAAATACCAAAGGTCGTCTCGCTGTCTGCGCGATGTCTCATGCTGTCCATGTGTTTTGTGGACCGTACCAAGTGCTGTAGGTAGAATCCGTACCATCTCCCCGACAGTGATTCTGATATGCTTTCAGAATATGATCTCATGGTGCTTAAAAGAAGAGCCGTGTTGTTGTCACTAATAGTGCGGCCTGCTTCTTATCTTGTTTCCTGTAGAGCCTCTGAAGAGGAACTCCGGCAGTGACGATGACTTGGCGTTGGGTGTAGAAGGTAAACAGCCTCCTATTGTGGACTTTTAAGGTGGCGCACTCAGCAGAGATTCTTTACAGGCCCACTGCTGTTTGGGGAAGAGAGGTGATGATTTATTGATCAGTGTGTCTCATCCAACACCAACAAGGAGAGAACGCTGCTCCTTCTGTGTGGCTACTGATACGAGGAGGACGCACAGCACCAGTCACATGGGATTGTCCCCTTTAGGAGCAGTAAAGGAGTGCTGGTGGTCGCTGAGCCAATAGAGTGGCTACAGCAGTAATTCATTCATTTATCATACAGGTCATTATCATCCTTTTCCTGTAATAAGCTCAGAGCTTCCATTCTGTATTTGTGATGTCATGCTATGGTGTCTTTGTATGCATTGGTGTGTCATTGTGTCTACTGGACCTTTCAATGGACAAACCCAAATAAACAGCAAAAAGACACATGACATGTAATGTAAAGACAAAGTGAAAAGATCCCTTTTTTGTCATTAAGTGTGTCCAGATGAGTAATACGGGCTAGCCTAAAAGTCTAAATTAATCCATTTATTGAATGATTCATTTAATATTTAAACATGGGAATTGTCACATGGATTTCACACAAAGAGCACATAATAATTAATAACATCAACTTATTTTTTTGGTCCCATATCCCAGAAAGAGGATTTGGTAGATTGTATTCACCGACTCTAGCGGGAAACTATTGTTTCAGTTTCTCACATTTTCTAATGAAAAATAGAATTTAAGAGCTCATTTATTTGAACCCAATGACGATCTTTCCTAGAGAGGTTGGTCGATGCCGGACTTGCACAGGCACACTGACCTTTTGAGGGATGTGATACCAACCGTCTCGCATGAGGATACAGCCACTATGCAAATGAATGTGAGCTTGTTGCATCGCGCCGACGTTTGACCGTCACTGTGCATGAAGATGCATCTGCAGAGACACGTGAAGGCAGTTTTCTCCGCCTTCACTTAGAAACCACAGGCAGAAGTTGGGACTTCACAACAAGTTTGGAGCAAATCTCGGTCCAATACGTAACTTCTATGAATGCAATGTGAAATGATAAAGCTTCTGGCTCATGAAAGGTAAAGACGGATGTTTCAGTGAAGCGTCCAGGAGTTAAAGTGTCACATGATCTAATCTATGGGCCAGAATACCTCCTGGTTCTGTCTCTAATGTTAACTTCTAAGCTGAGATATTAACGTGTCAGTGACCTGGAGGTGGGGACATTATGGTGTGTGCATGTTAGACACGGGGTACGGCTCTACGGAGATAGAAAGACTACTTTGTTCCAGACACTGAAAGGGGGACGGCTCAGGGAACTGCCGAAACCCAAACACCCACCGGAGGAAAAAAGGAGAGGGAGGGGGTTCCTAATATAGCTCAAGGAGCCTTTAAACCAACCCTGGACAGGACATACCGACTTTCTACTGGCAGATAGTTGAGGACGTGTTTCCCTGTGTTCTTTCCTCATGTTGCTATGTCTCCGTATGTGATGACTTGTCTCTCCTGCAGCGTCTCTATATGGTAACCAGAGGACGAGGACGGTCCAGGAGTTTCTGCGGTAAGGACGCCTTATTCTCGTATCCTGTCATATGTACCGAACCTTCAGCCGGTCCAGTAGAGTGCAGCACGTTGTTAGCACAACGGATACATATGTGAGGATATTTAAATAGTGTTTGAAAGAAAAAATGAGCTCATGTCAGTATTCTAAATCAAGGTGGAACTGTTTCTAATGTCTAAATGCATTTGACAGCATTCCACTTAAATTAAACAAGGCTTGTGTTGCAGTTTTCATTACAATTCTACATTCATTTCAAATGTTCTTGTAAGTGATTTTTTTCAGAGGCTTAATGTTTAGAGACGGCTGTTTCAGAGGCCTGTGAACCTTCTGACTTCCCCTCAATCGAACCTAATGTGTCACGTGAAGATCTGGTTAGAAAAGTACCTTCATTTTGATGAAGTGATTAGAAGCCGTTTGTTTGAATGACTAAATGGGTAATTAAACACAACACGGTACCACTGCAGCTGTTGGGTCAGGCTGGACCTGAACACAGACCTAGAACTACAGAGCAGTATTTACCAGGCAAATAGCCCCCACCCCCCTCTGACCCCCCCGTGCACTGCCCGGTTTGCATAGACAGCGAAAGGATCAGAGGAAAGTTATTGCAACGCTTGACAGCTGTAGTGAAAATATGACTGAGCTCAGAGCAGAGGGGCATGAAGGTCTAGGACCAGTAACACGGGGTTCTGATCAACCAAGACCTGGATCACAATGTGAGTACACAACAGCTGTTATTCACTTTACATTCTGGATGCATTCCACATTATCATAGTTCCAATTCCACACTTTTAGAATTTGACCAATTGAGCACACAACAAATTCTCAAGTCTTTGTTCATGTTGATGTAGAGAAGAACCGTTTCACTGACCGTTATTTGGAGTCAGTACGAGGTTACAGTAACTCAGAGGCAACAAGTATCCAACAATCCAGCTTGTATTTCTGTCATTGCTCAGTAAGGTTCCTGAAGTATCTGAGCTGGTGGAATACTTTAATGCTTCCTTCTTGTCTCCTTTAGCATGAAAGCGACTCACATGTTTTTATTGCATAGATTTAGTATTTTCATAAAGTCATCTACTTATTGAGAGTCATGTTTAGAACTACAAGTGGAAAGTAACACATGTTTCAACCCATGTGAACACACAGACATTTATTTGCACCCTTTGTTCATAACACACAACATAAAACACCAAGAGTAACAAATATAAAAACCAGGAAATACAGTAAACCGTGAGCCCCGTTTACTGTGTGAACTGTGTGTGTGGCACCTGGAATGACAAATGTCCACCCGTAAGACAGACTGTGTCCACTGTGTGGCTGAAACCCGTTAGTGTCCCCCCAGAGGTCCGGCGATTTCTGGAATTCTCCGCACATCTCGTGCTCTATATTACTCATTGAGTAACTTCAAGATTCACCCTGTCAAACGTCCTTGAGAAATCTTTAGATTTAGAACCTTTAGGACGGTTCAATTTGAAACCTCTTTTTTTGCATTGTCAGTATTGTTATGGGAAAATGTCTCACAATGCATAAGTGACGTCCTAAACACAGATTCTGCTAAATTCTATCAAGCCAGTACCGGTGTGCCGGTAGTTCATATCGGTAATGAGACATAACGACTGACGTTGCTCTTCGACCGGCGGCATTTATATATGAAAATTTATTTCTGGCGTTCTACAGTCGTAGTGCTTCAACTACTGTGACTCATTTTAAGAATTTAAAATATACATATATTCAAAAAGATAAGTGCAATGATTACACCCATTTTGGTGAATATTAGCAGAACTGTTCCTGCTGTGGGCAAGTTTTTCTGAACTTTTGAGACTCCTCATAAATGTGCAGGAGAATAATAACATTGACCTCTAAAGCTGTAGGTGTTTCAGGCCCTAAATATCTGTAAATCGTATGTGACCAGAATCAGGCCGTCTTTGCTGTTATACACCCATAGGTGGAGCAGGTCAAGTCCAAACCTTAGCAGGTGGAGCAGCTTCAGCTCAGCAACATCAGGTCCCTCTAAAGCGCCCAGGTAAGACACTGCCTCACACACACACAAACACACACACACACACACACACACACACACACACACACACTCTCAGTCATTCTCCCTCTGTTGGCAGTGTGATGGACATGCTCAACCTGTGGAAGGACGACCCAGAGGAGGTTCTCTTGGACCTGGGCTTTGGCTGTGATGAACCAGACCTTTCAGGACGCATACCGGCTCGCTTCATCAATCATCAGTCTCAGGCAAGAGGAATAAACCTCAAGGTGTTTCTGGAGGCCCAGGAGAACCGGCTGGACCTGGAGAACCCAGACGTCAGCAGTAAGTCTGTATTTGTTGGTACACTGACGCTTGTATTAATGTTCCCGCTGGTTTTGTACCCAATTCAGGGTTGACAGATGGAGCCTTTTTGTTTGTTACCAGTGATTCTACCACAATGGCTGTGTCATCATTCTAGAAGCTTCAGGTTGTCGTGTGGTAGCAGGGCGGTTGTGCTGTTTCGATTAGGTCGGTCAGTCACATTAAGCATTGTAGGGAAATCGTCGTATTGGAAATATTAGACGTGGTCCAACATGGACAGTGGAAGAGGGTCTCAGTGTCTCTGGGCCTCTTGTACGTACTTTTGCAGACGTAGCGTATCAGTGCCGGTGTGTCGGATTTACCGACCTGCAGCTCATCAGGTGATCAGCGCCTTGCTACGACCTTTCTACGATGGGGAACACAGCCAAAGCAGCCAAAACAAGAATTCAGTGACGACGAATGTACAGACTAGTGGAGATCTCGACAGCGCACTAGTCACTAGTCAATACATGTGAATGCATATGCGTGACACGGAAAATCGGCCGGCAGGGCGCCTTGTTTGTACAGACCTCTCCATGCTTTTACGCACACGTGGACACATGAGACCCTCAGTGTCTTCTCTTGTCTCCTTCAGATCGTTTCAGACAGCTGGAGGTTCTCCAGCAGGTAACCACAGCGTTCTCATCCCTGGTGAGGTCTCCCTCCTCCTCACCTCTCAGAGCTCCCCGGCCTCCTGAGGCCCAGGAGAGGAGGAGGCGCATGGGCCTCCTATTCAGAAGAGCATCCAAGAAGTCACTCAGCCAACTCCATACGCGCAACCATAAAACCCAGGACCTTAACACAGCCGCTGCCACATCTGCTGCCCCTGAGTCACTGCCACCTCCATTCAGCCCTGCAGACAAGGACATCCCCTCAAAGAAAACTCGACATGGACTTCTGGAGACTGTGTGTCTGAGTCCTCTGGCAGAGGAGACCGGAGCAGGTCCAGACCCTCAGGCGGAGCCTAACGTGGCCCCTGTGATGGCCCAGGAGGGAGCACCCGGACACTGGGCCCTGACAGGAGGTCAAACCTCGTTACTTGGGAAGAAGAGCCCAGCGCAGGCCCGGGAATCGTTTGAAATAGAAGAGGCAAGTGCAACACTTCCCAACGTTCATCCAACATTTAATAGCTTAAACTTCAGAGGAAGGTGCTTTGTGACATGCAAGGCTACGGAGTAATACAAGCAGAAAGCATCAGTGCACGTAGAAGGAAACATGTCACAACCTGATTTGCTGCTATACTTTGAATGGTTTAGATAAATGTTCAATTTAATCCCATTCATGTACATGTGCAGATGTCCACAGTGATTCGGATGCACATTTTGCAACATATACTGGCCACACGTGTTATCCAACAGTAATACAAATGAATCATTGTTTAAATGATACGTTGGGGGTATAAGAACATCACACTACTTCCTGCATTAGAACATGTCGTCCTCTTAAAGAATGAGAGGACAATGTACTGAATACGTTAGCTGCACACTAATTAGCAGTTACTAGGTAACAGGGTTTGATGATGAGCCACTCAATGATGAAGGCTTGAATGAATCAACACATTACATATTCATGGCGGTAGGACTTAATACAAGATCTGCTAACTTACCGTAGGGTTCTATTGTGTTCCATGCGGTTGTCATATGAATATTAATTAAGTCTTTTTGCATGTTTTATTCCAGATCCACAGTTTTGATGACAGTTATGTGACAGGCAGCTACACAGGAGGAGCAGAACATTTAGGTAGGTCATTAAGCGTATCGTGATTACATTATTATACCGTTTTAACATTTTCCATCTCCAAACTGTGTGATTGTTGAGTCAAAGTCTTACAACACATGCTTTTGATATGCAATCAAACAGCCAATCAATATGTAAATCCTCTGTATACCGTCTCAACATCATGGGTGACGCAGTCATTTTCATATTGGAATGATTGCTGGTTTTACTGCACGTGATGGTTCACAGTGTGATGAACATTACAAAGTAGGACATTATGTTAAGCTACCATTTAAGTATATTAAATACCTTTAAAGTATTTATCAACAAATTGTCTAAATCTTCACACATGTCAAGACTGGATGTATCAGTGAATTGTGTGTGAAAACTTGATATGCCTCATGGGTCTCTTTACTGAAAGTACTGGACTGTGAGTGGTAAGCTACGCTAACAATGTCTCTCCTTCCACTTGTCTTCACCCCCCTGGTGTGTGAGCAGCGCACGGTGTCCTACGGAGCAACAGCTGCCAGTCAGACAGCAGTGGCTTTCTAGAGGAGCCATTCGTCCCCCTTCTCATCAAGCAGGCGTCACCAGGAGCCGACCTCATCCAGGTCTCACAAGTACACACTCAGACCCCCTGTATGCAAATGATCCACACTGGCTGGGTGAGAGACATGATAGATCTGTGTCCTCTGTTTGGTTGCAGGCTCTGTCCGGCCTGTCCGGGGACACTGAGACGCCGTCCCCCCATACTCCTGCATCTCTCACCTCGTCTGCTGTTGACTCGCCCAGTCTTTCACCAAAGCCTTCATTAGACTTTGACCCTTCCCCATGTCCATTCTCCTTGTGTCTCCCAAACTCTGACCAGCACAATTCAGAGAGGGAAACACAACCAGAACCGGATCAGTCTCCAGCTGCTTCACTCTCCACGTCGGTGTGTGAGTACTCTCAAGAGCTTGCAATGCCTGCTGCTTCTGTCCTGACTGAGGACAAGGAGACTCCGTCCTCCCACGTCCCTGCTGTACTGCACGGCTCCGAAGGCCCAGCCTGCTCTCCCTGTCCAAGTGTTGCTCCTCTTGCCTCATATCCTTTTCCTTCTCCAAATTTGGATCGTCCGTTTTCCCTGTCAACCGTTACGTCTTGCACGCGGTCGGCCTCCTCTTCCAGGAGTCCAGGCGACCCTCATTCAGAACAGACTGGAGTGGCTCTGCACAGAAACTCATCATCGCTATCATCTCAGCTTCAGCCATCTGCCCCCCATGATTTTCATTGTCCCACCCCACTAAAAGAGACCCTCTCGCAAGATGCGGAAAAGCATCATATGGATTCCGTGTTGGAAGACTCCGAAGCAATAGGCCTCTCTGATCCATCTACCAGTTCACAGAAGGATGAGGAAGAAACACCCTCCTCTCTCTCCTTCCAGTTGGAAAAAGACAACGTCTCTGCTTCATCCTCTCTCATTCTGGTGTCCTCTGAGGACCCTTCCTTTCCAGATGGTCATCCTGCCTTGCAGTCTCATTTAGGTGATCCGGAGGGTCTGATCGATCCAGCTGCTGCAGGAACCTCAGACCTTTCAGCGCTGTCCACCTGCCGACGTGATATTAGCACAGAGCCTGCTCCGACTCCCCGAGCCCAAGACATGATTCATGATACAATGAATCACTTCTTCTTGGACTTTGAAGACACCGACCAGAGGTGTGGAAAGGGAGCAGCAGGGGCTGAAAGGCTCACTGACACTGTGCAGACGCAGAAGAATGTTGTTTACATCTCAGATACAGAGAGTTCTGCGGGCCTGTCACAAGGTTGTAGAGTAGTCTCTGAGGAAGTATGTAACCAAACAGAAATAGATCCACAGCTCCTATCAACTGGAACCCAACCGGAACATTGTCAGGGAGGAGGTATTGGCTCGGAAAACAAATCACTCAGCAGTTCTTTGATTTTACATAATTGTAGAGCTGAAGTTCAACCAAAGGATCTAATCAAGGTTGAGAGCTTAGATGAGATCTTCCAGACCTCCGTGGATAGTTCTGAAGGTGACACTGGAGATGTGGATGCCTTTTTTCAGCAGCTTGATACTGAAGGACGAGCCTATTGGGCAGAACCCATCCAGGTTTCAAATCCGAGTCCTGTACTCGAAGAGTCAGTCAGCGTCGAAAGCTCAGGCGGATCTCCTGGGAGTTCTCCGTTGCCTAGTGGCCCAGCTCTTCTGGACCTGATGCCCTCCACCGGCAGAGCTATGCTTTTGTCTCCGTCATCCTCAACAACGATGGACACTGACCAGATGTCAAGAAATAAAGCCGCCTCCCCAGTGGCCCCAGCTCCGGTCCCGACCCCCTCCTTAAGCCCAGACCTCAAGACATCTAGCCGCTCCGTTTCTGTCCAGATGTCTTCTTCCCCATCGTCTCATATAGTCCAGCGGAAGGACGTTCCCTATATTACGGACTCTAAACGCACGCTTCTGTCTAGTTTCCTCTCTTTGGACACGTCCACCCCTTTCCGTGCTGTGCAGTCATGGACTGACCTTCAGATCCAGCGAAGCCCTCTCACCACCAACTTCTCTCAGTGGGGCCTTCATACTTCCCCAAAGGATGTAACCGTATGCACTAGTGCCACAGAAACGTCACATGACTGTGAGCAGACTGAACATCAGCACACCACGTCGCTCTCTGTGGACAAAGGGCTGTGGCTTGATGAGGAGGAGGTGGACAGGAACGGATATGAAGAAGAGGGCAAGCTCTGGCGGGAGGATCACAGGGCCACCACGTCGTGTTGCTGCTCCTGTGACCATCAGTGTAACGGCGCCACTCAGAAGAGAGACAACATTCCTGTGAGTAATACCACTCTCTCCAATGTGGCCTCGTTTCACTTTATTTATCTTCCCACTCCGACAAATTCGTTTGTGATCTTGTGTCACGTTTCAGGCTCCAAAATGTAACGTAAAATGAAAAGTAATTGACCCATAAAAGTGCTGTAATTTTCCACATTAAGATACGGTTTGTATACTACAACATATTTTCTTTTTAATGTATAATGAATGATATTTAAACCTGTAAAACAAATACATTTAAAAAAATATATATAATAATAATACATTGAATTTTTATTATTATTGGTAAAAAAATAAATCTGACAAATAATGGTAGAGGTAACAATATAGGTATTAGTACATTAGAACAAATAAAAAAGACTGTACACAATAGTGCAAAAATATGACAATTTAAGAAACATTAACTGTTCAGTAAATTTACAGAAAAAAGCCTCTATTTTCTTGATGATCTTTTTACTACCTTGCTTCACTCTGACTGATCTTGTTCTCCACAGTTCTCCCTGGATGAGCTGGAGGAGATGATGCAGTGTCTGCAGCACTTCTGCTCTGTTCTCAGCGACATGGAGGAGCAGCTCTCTGAGGACCAGGCGGCGGTTTACGGCGCCCTCTCTGACCCGGACAGGTGCTCTGTTTGGACCGTAGAGCTTCAGCTCGTGAGGCGCTCTGACCTCTGTGACATTAGAACACGCGTGTCTCCATCTCGTTGTTAAACAGACGCTCAGCTTCACACATTTTCATGCCATCAGATCAGTACGTATTCAATAATGAAAAATATCCATTATGTCTCACTGAAGCGTGATGGTTTGGGGCCGTTACACCGTGCTTTGCCTTTGATTGAGCAGACAGGCAGTGCTCCGCCGGCTTCTCCGCATTCACACGTGGAGTTAAGTTAAAAATCCAGAAGTCCCCATTGAGACAATCTTCTTATGCAAAAGTAAGGAAAACTTAAACAACATGTAACTTCATCAACATCTAGTCATCAACTCTCTAATCAAACAAAGAATGTACACTGTATGTATTATATTTGAACAAAAACAGTTTTCAAATTAACCGGATGGATTGATGCACAGCAGTACACAAATAAATGTCCTTCTTATTCCAGGTAAAATCTAAAAACAATTACTTTTGATAAAGGTGCTTCATTATTTCCTCAGTCAGCTTTATAATTACCGTCCAAACACGTGTGAAGGTGCTCACTGGGTTTCCTAGAACCAAATATATGTTTTGTAATAATGCTCATAGTGGAAAACGCGGCCTCACAGCTGTATGTAGACGGATGAGATGTTCCTCAGACCTGGGCAAGCTGTCTCTGAGACCACGTGGAGCTCTATCATGGCTACATCTGCTTGAAGACCGCCCGGTCGCATCCGGAGAGGCTCAGCATCTGCTCGCTCAAAGGGCCGTGTGACTTCCTGTAATGGGGGTGGGTTGTTGAGTCTCCGGTTCATCCTTCAGTTAGTGTCTATGGAGTGCACTTTGATCCCTCTGTTGATGCCTTCACAGCACATCTTCTCTTCTCTGCCAGTAGACAGTGGAGCAGCAATAAGTGTGTGCGTGTTTGTGTGCAGGGAGATGGTCCAGGACGTAGAAGAGCTGAGGCGGGCAGTGAAGCAGGAGGCTGGACAGCTGGAGATGCAGTTGAATGAACTGGCCGATCATTATGATGACAACTTGAAAAGGGTAACAATGAGTAATTTACAGCGTTGTTGAGGAACACGCAGAACTCCCTGAGCCAGAGGGAACTGTAGTTAGGAATGTTCCCAGAAGCAATGGCAAAGTTCTGAAACGTGTTTGTCTGCTTCATCCCGGGACGAATGCTCACTGATCCAGTTCGTTGCTCATCACCACCATAGATAGTTCACGTTACAAGAGAATGAACTGAGGCACAAAGCAGATGACCCGTTGTGTTGCTGTCTTTGTGTTTTGGAGTAGAAGATGCACAGGCTGTTGGATGAGCAGTCTCTCCTCTGCTCTCAACTCAAAGTCTCTCTACCTGGGGCGGGGCCCACGGCGCAGAGACCCGCCCCCAAGCGGACAGCTGCCACTCAGTGCTGTCCAGTGGAGGAGCAGCGCGGCCCCCCGTCCGCCTGGAGGGGCTGGGATGTGAGCTCCCTCCTCCAGTCAAAGTGCATCTGTGAGGCCCGGGGCAAGAAGGACCAGCTGGACATGATGGCTGTCCTCCAGAGAGTAAGGACACTATTTGAGGAGACAAGTAGAGGGAGGACATTTCAGTGGTGGCATTCTGATTAATGGGAGTTATTCTGTGGGTGGTGTCCTGTCGCTGTGCGCTGGAGGAGGCTGTGGACAGTTAAAAGCCAGCGAGGTCCAGGAAGAGACATTTCCTCTTCAAAGGTTCTCGAACATCTCACCTAACTACTCTATGGTTTAGTGGCACATTGATGTGGTCAACAGCTGATTATCAAGACAACAACAGCTGTCAACAGCTGACAATTTAAATGTTCCTGCAGCTTCACATTCAGTGATGTCATCAAAGAAACATGACATTCTCCTCATCTTCTGAAAAGATCAAAGATCTATATTATTATCTACATATCCTCTGTGTTAACATCATGTTGGGCTCTTATTATCTGTGCCTTCAGTTCCCACGTGAGTAGCTAGCTCACTAGCTTCACGTGACCTCTTTTAAAAAAGGTCACGGTCTCTCAACATATGAGACATCCTGGTTACAAGTAAAGGCTCGAAAAGCTGCGCTGGAATAAACAGAAGAGCTCCATCACAACTTCACACAGCGATTACACAAAGCTACCACAGCGTGTGCACAACAGCACAAAGCAAAGGGAAGGGCAGTTAGAACAGTCTTTGTGGTGAGTGAAGTTCTGCAGGAAATCACAGATGGCATCTACTACCTCCAGCTCGTAGCTACTGGACACCACACTCGGGTCTTCTACTTTCTAACTGTTGGGTGACCTGTTTTACAGTTGAAGGAGTCTTTGCATCATTCTGTGAACACAGACTAATAAAAGGTGAGGTTTTTTGTAATATGAATTAATGATCATTGTTGAAGTCTACTGTTCAGTAAACTTGTGTGTTAAAAAACATACATAAAGTTAATAACTCTCCCTTCAAACTCAAAGAGTCCTAAAAATCTTAAATGCAGAAGCAATATTCCAAAGGACTCTTCTGATGGTCTTTGCTTGGTGGGGCTGTGGGCGCATCCCAGTTAGCTCCTTCCAACCAATCCCCAATAAAAAGGCCTCATCCTGCTCCTGTGGTTATTTAAAGGTGTGTGCAGTACCTGTAGTACGTGTAGTACATGTTCTCGGTACTCTGTACCTTCCTTGCCTCAGCCCTGTGGAGTGACTGTTAGTGACTTGCTGCTTGTTGTTTGGCCTCTGCTTTCATTCATAGTGGTGAATCAACAGGGTTTGTTCAGTTTATTTTCGCTCGGTAGAGTCCAAGCTCCTGTGTTGGCTCCCCACCCCTGATGGATGCATGTGGGGACTGCACCTTCTCCATTGGGAGGATTGGCTGTGCCTTCCACAGTAGTCTGCCCGTCATCACTACTCCTTCATACTCATTTACAGGACCAGGACCAGCCTACGGGGCCGTTTGGGCTCAGGGAATAGAATAACTGAAATGTGACCCTGAAGCGTCCATGTCTCTTCTAAATAACATCTTTCAGCAGCCCCCAGTCTATCAGCTTGAATTTAACTACAGTTGAAATCTGCCTTTTGAAACCAGGCCAAGGGCTTTTATTAGCCGTTAACATTCATTCTGTAATAATCATCAGGAATCCTGCTGTCTGTCAAATATCCTCATAGGTTGTGTCTTCTAAACCAATGAAGATGTTAAAGACATACAAGCTTAGCTCACAGCTCAAGATATTAACTGCCAGTTAATAATCATTGCAATGCACACAGTCCAAGAAGCAGCAGGTTGTGTCCATCGTGTGTGATTTATTTATTACATGTTTCATTCTGTGTTTCAGGTGCGGCACATCATCTGACTCCATCCACTGAAGAAGAAAGGACTTCTGTTGTCGCACACAGTGGCTGACAATGGTTCTTGAGAAAGGGACTACTTTATCATTTTTTAAATAAAAAGGTTTGAATGCACTTTGTAATGTGCATGTGTGCAAACTATGTATTTAAATTGGCCTCGGCTCAATCTCCTGGAAGTAATGTTGGTGTCACACATGTGTAACATGGTGGCGTGAGGGTCCCGTGTGATACCGAAGGTAAACGTTGTCTGGCGTTTCCACCAGTGTGATCTATCTATGAATATCATGCCATCAATGTTTCAGGTTGACTCTCGGGCCTGAAACTAATGCAGCATAGAGGCGACTGTGTTTGATGCTTATCTACAATAGATCCATGTAAGAGTAAGATGAGTTAATGAAGACAACATATGACTAAAATAAACACTTATGTATGTTTATGTACTCTGGGTCTTTGTGCTATCATCTAAACACACACACACACACAACAGGAAGCACCAATTTCCAGAGCATCATCCCCCATTGAGACTTCAAAAGGCGTCGGTTGGATCGGCGCGTCTCAAGAGTGTTTTGTAACAAACACGGTTTATATAAGCTGCTACAAAAAGCAACATAAGTGTGTCAACGTTGTGTCACTTCTGTTCACGTCCACCTCAGAATTCAAGCTTCATGTGTGAACAACATGGAGACCAGTATCACTGACCAGCCCTTTCTGTGTGCAGTCTGCATGTCCTCCCCGTGCCTCTCTGGCTACTCCGCTTCCTAACACCAGCCAAAGGCTGCAGCATAGGTCCATTGGGACCGTCAGTGGTTGGTTGTCTTGCAACTGTCAGGCGACCCGTCCAGGGTGCACCCGGTCTCACGCCCGATGCCAGCTGGAATGGACTCCACCCCCCACACAACCCTATCAGGATAAGCGCATCTAAGATGAAGTGAAGGAATAGAGTGCTATGGTGTTATGTATAGAGAATGAATACATTCAATGCACTGCGACAGAAATGATTCATGTATTAATAGTAGTAAGCAGAATTAGATATAGAATCGCAGCAGTGGATGTCTGGAAGGACCACTTGAGGAACTACCACCGTCCAGATGTTACCCCCATCTACAGTAGGGCTGTCAAAATTGTTCAAAAATGACGTACGAACATTCGCTTTAAAAGAACACAGATATTAGAATATATTTGAATATCTGGTTGCGCATTAGACGCGTCAATAACTTAACAACATATTACCTACACATAAATAAGTAAATTAACTAACGGCCAACGCCGCTCTCTCTCTCTCTTTGTCTCTGATCGTGTTGCACGCCGCCATGTACTTCGGCGGGCTGAGGCGGAAGCGCGGCGTGAGGATGGCGCTGAGCCCCTCGTACTCGGTGGAGGCCTGCAGCCCGGCTGACGAAAGAGGAGATACTGGTGGAGAACAACTGAGGAGTGGAGCCAGCGTCCAGATCGACGAGCAGCTCAAGCATTTAGACTTCAATGTTGTCGTGTATGTGACATGTTTGTCCGTTTTTTAAAGAAAATGAAGGTTTTTCAAAAATTGGGGGAAAAAAATCTCTCGCTTTCTCTCCGCAGCGATTTAAATGAACGACAACAAACAAATGTCGAATTTTGTGCAAGCAATTTAAGGTCGTGATTCTCGTCCCAAAGATGTTCGACTTCATTCAGTGATTGAAGTGAAACTAAAAGTTTTACAGTACCGACATTGAATGCGAGCTGTGCTCTAAACTTTTCTTTGGGATAAAACAGAAATACTCAAACCAGTGCATGAAGGAAGCTATTGTAGTCTATTTTATTCATGCAATATACAGTCAGTAGTCAGGTGCACGCATAACCGCTAAGCAGACAGTCGCCGTTTGAATTTTCGAAACCCCAAAAACTCTTTTCTATCTTCTCCAACCTCCTCGAACCCCCTAGTCCTCCTCCCCCTCCACCCTTCTTCCAGGAGACTTTGTCAACTACTTTACCAAGAAAATCTCTTTCTCAAACCCACCTCCTACTTCTTGCGTCCCACTGACTTCACCTCTAAAATCGGTTATTAAAAGCGTTGGCAACGAATTTCATTATCGATTTGTTGTGTCGCACGATTGTTACGTCACTCAATGAGTTGTGGAGATGCGCGCGGAGCAAAAATAAAAATGAAGGCGGCGAGCGTAGAGGAAAGAGCAGCCGGCAGTTGTTGTGAGTCACGTGACGCAGGGAGAGACGTCTGTTCGACGAGTCGTCTAAGGTGTGCGAGCGTGGGGGGTCCCGGTCCACGTGGTCCCGTTTTGACATGAGGGACGTAACAAGCCTCCTGTTTACTCGTCATCCAGCTGGTCAAGCTAGCGTTAGCTCGCTAATAACAGCAGTAAAGCAGTTAGCAAGACTAAGACACGTTTTTATTTACTCGCCTCTTTTGGACCTTTCACTTTTCAATGTGTTGTCTTGTATTTTGTGCTTTGTCCCATATTTGTTTGTGTGTGTTTAATGCTGTCATATACGGTAGTCCAGTGCGCTTGCGCACATACTGTGGGTTATACGGTAGTTGATGTTATGCCTGTAAATGGAGACACATGATCCATTAAATCAACTAAGAAGCCTCTAATGCATTTATTTACAAATGCCATTTCAAATGTATCTCATAGCACTTGGTTGTTTTGTAGCTGTATGCATTTACTTAACTTGCACTACAATGATGGTAATAATTTAATGAATATGCTTCAAGTGAACATGACGATGTGTTTGTGAGTGTAGTATAAAGAACTAGTTCTGACGAATTTGAGGTTCTGTTTTAGAATAAAGGGTTGGAAATTAAAGCTTTTTAATGCCGTTTTTTTTTAAATCAAAATAATCGTTAGTTGCAGCCCTACTCCTGACCTTCTTCCTTTCCTCACCTGTCTCATCAACAATGCTCTGTCATCTGGCTGTTTTCCCAATTATCTGAAGGAGGCAAGAGTCAACCCCCTCCTGAAGAAACCCACCCTCAACCCTTCTGAAGAATTACAGACCGGTCTCTCTTCTTCCCTTTTTGTCCAAAACCCTTGAACGTGCTATCTTTAATCAACTCTCCTCTTATCTCCACTGTAACAACCTCCTTGACCCCCACCAGTCAGGTTTCAAGGCAGGCCGTTCCACAGAGACTGCGCTCCTTGCTGTCTCTGAGCAACTCCACAGTGCTAGAGCCGCCTCTCTCTCCTCTGTCCTCATCCTTCTGGACCTCTCTGCTGCATTTGACACGGTCAACCACCAGATCCTTATTTCCTCCCTTCAGGAACTTGGTGTCTCAGGCTCTGCTCTCTCCCTTCTCTCGTCCTACCTCGACGGGCCACACCTACCTGGGGTCGTCGTGGCGCAGGGGTTAGAGAAGGTGTGCTGGGAAGCACAAGGTTGGTGGTTCCAGTCCAGGCTGCCCCATGCTCCATGTCGAAGTGTCCCTGAGCAAGACACCTAACCCCTAATTGCTCCCTGGGCAAAAATGTGAAAAGCCATGGGATTAAAGTGTCGTGTAAGTCGCTTTGGATAAAAGCGTCTGCTAAAATGACCTGTAATGTAATGTAACCTGGCGAGGTGTCGGAACCTTGTCCTCTTACTACGGGAGTTCCTCAGGGTTCCATCCTGGGTCTCCTCCTTCTTGCTCTATACCAGCTCGCATGGCTCAGCTATGCCGATGACACCCAACTAATTCTCTCCTTCCCTCACTCGTCTGACTGACATCTCTCAGTGGATCCGCCCACCATCTGAAAATCAACCCCGACAAGACTGAACTACTTCTATTTCCGGGAAAAGATTCTCCGACCCAGGACCTGACGGTCAACTTTGGCAACTCCGCGCTAACACCCACTCTGACTGCTAAGAACCTCAGCGTGACACAACAAATAATTGGAGTAATCAAGTCTAGAAGTAACAAATGCAGAGACAGGAAGTTCCAAATTATGGATATAATTTGCAGGTGGATCAATTCCATCCAGAGAAACTATTTCACTAAACAATTGATTTGGGAGGTGCTCTGGGCCTATCAAGATAACCTCTGTTTAGTCTGAGTTTAACATCAGGAAGCATCAGGTCATCCAGCTTTTTGTGTCCTTAAATTCGTGAAGTTTGGCGAGCAGGTTGGTTTTGTCTGGCTTTATTGATAGTCCTTTGTCTGACGCAATTAATAAATTGTCATTTTCACCAGAGCTGTGGCTGTGCTGCGATGCGCTCCCGACTCTATAGAGAGGCCGATAGTTAGCCAACACCTCTGGAAGAAGTTTAATTACAGCTACCTTGATCATCCACTAAAATGACCTCATCTGTTTTAAAGACACAACTTGATAAGAACTATGAAAATTCAGAATACGGACCTGGGGCCATTTGCAGTGTATTATTTTCCAAAAGCATGGCGGTGAGAATTCAAACACTCACGAGAGCTACTGCAACAAGCTGCCACTCACACGTCTAACAGATATGGAGGAATTGTTCCTGAAGTGAGCTTTATTTCGTCCATTGTTACTGTAACACACCCAATGAAGCAAACGGCTTTATGGGGTTGACCTTTGTCTTTGTTCGTATAAAAAGTCACCAAGTTGTTTCAACATTTTGAACAGCCCAATAAAGAACAATTCACCAGCTGTAAACATACAACATCGTTTGCGCCTCGCCCCCCCACACCGGGACAGGAAACCCTCCATGAAAAAGAGGTTTTGATATCTGCTTTGATTCTTGTATGTAAGGGTCCATACCATGAACAATGGTGTGACTTTATGGCTTCTTCTGGTCTCCTTTTTACACATGGTATAGGTGGATCATTCAATAGCGTAGCACTTGTCATTGTGATTAAAACATACTGGCACGGATGATTGAACCAGATATCTTCAATAAAATAATCTTATGCGCTCAAACGGGTCACATCGAAAACACAAAATGCATAAAGTTCGTATGTTGAGCTTCTAAATAGCGTTCATGACGTTCATGTGTTGGACATGTGTTCCTCTTTAGTGTGCGTGTGCATGTGGGGGAGTGATGCTCCTCCTCCGAGCTTCATAACCGAGTGTCGCTGCTGCCGCCGGTCAGTGAGGCGCTGCTGAGCCCGAGGTAAGAACACGCTTCCATTCTGCACCCGGCACGGCTGCGCCCGTTTCTTTCTTTTACTTTACTTTTCTCTTCAACTCTCATTCATTTTTATTTACTTCCAACCATCTTTGTAAACCTGCACGTTTAGTATTTGGTCCTGTTCATGTTTCATGCTTGCTTGTATGTGGAGACGTCTAATAACCCTGTTACAGCGTCACATGTGTGTGTGTAATACTTGGACATGTACAAAGCAATAAGAGGTGTAGATGGAGGTGATGGAGTACTGCTGTTTGAGGGCTGCGATCAAAGCTTGTGTCTGAAAGAGACACACACCCCCCACGCACACATGGGCCTGAAGTGCTTTCTCCTTTGTTGGTGTCATGAGGTCCACTAATGAATAATGGATGCTGTGTGTTATGTGATCTGGGCCTCAGAGATGACGACAGGCTGTGTGAGGCCGACCCTGGAGCCTGAACATGGACCGATGACACAGGAAGGCAAACGCTGTAAGCACAGTACGTCTCTTTCACATGATAATCAAATGTTTACATCTGATCTCCGTCAGTTTACTGTAAAGATCCTGTAGTTGTACACAATGTGTCAGAAAACAGCTGGCTCTGCTAATTGTATTTTAAAACTTTGATGTGATTTATTATGTAGAGAGAGAATGTAGAATAGGAGATGATAACAAGAACTGTGCCAGTGGGCCTCCAGCAAAGTGCCTGTGACAGAGCCAGTGATGAGGTGGCGTGACAGGAAATCAGCTACGCTCATCAACGGCCTCACATGGGACACGTCTCCAATCAGGAGTTCAGCAGCGCTGGTTGCCGGGTCAAACGCCCCCACACTGTCAATGAGAAGTGGACGTAGTCATCGGGGGACACCCATTGGTTTGGGGAGCTGCCGTTTGGCGGTTTGCCCGAAGCCATCTTGTGTTAAGCGTCTTAATTTGGATCGATGTAGAAAGAGTGAAGGGAGCTTCTCTTGAAGTGCATTCAGTGCACGTTGACCCTCCCTGATGCCGTTATGCTTGTACCCAGGTATCGGATCTCCCACTATATTTAATGTCAATCTGTTCTGCCGACATCAGGGTGTTTTTTGAGAAAGCGGGACGATGGCGGTCGTCATATTTACTGGTCGGGCCCCGTTCTCACAGAACTGCTCCGGCTGTCCTTGTAGTCGGGTCCTTTTCTCTCTCCACAGATTTGAATGCTGTTTGGAGTCTGTGTAAATGAGCTATGAACACAATTATTAGACAAGTGTGTATTTATTGTGTAAAAACCTGAACCCTGCACAGGAGCACATACATGTTAAAGATCAGAAAAGGTTCAAAAGTCAGAGTAGGAAATCAAACAGCATCAGCTGCTCCAAACGGTTTCAACCAAATGCAAGTGCAATGTTCATGGTGTGTTTTTGTCTTTGATGGAGACGCGTGTGGTAGGTGGAAATGTAACTGTGTGGCTGTGTGACAGATGAGGCGGGCCTGATGGACAGGAAGTCTGAGATGCAGGACGATAAAGGGGACAAGGAGTGCAAAGAGAAGCAGGCGGACCAGAAGAAACCTCGCAGGAAAGACACGCCCATCCTCCACTGTCCTCCACATATACCAGGTCAGCACACACACACACTTCATGGAGGTGTTCTGAAACGATGGCCTTGAAGTCCAATGTATAAATGTTCATGCAAAGGATGTGCATCAAAGATGGCGTCTGAAACCCTCCACTCGTGGAAGAAGAGGCTTGTGGTTTGAGAGCTTTTAAAGCACTCGGACAAACACTTGTAAGTTACAGTTGAGGAATGTTTTCATGCACTTTGGGTAATCAGTTTCCTTTTTGATCTCGGTGGATGATTTGCTCGTGGTTGACCTGTTGACCTTAAACACGGTGGCTCTTCACCTTGTAGCCAGAACTAAGAAAATAAAGCTGCTGATGTAGGAAGTAGTGGTTTGTAGGTTTTTATGCTGTAGTCAGATATCAGCTCTCCAAACAAACAGCACGTACAGTCTGACCTGCTTCTTGGTTTGAAGGTGACCAGCTGCGTTTCCCTCTCCAGGAGTGACGCTGCTGAAAGCACAGAAGCAGATGGTCCACGTAGAGGACGAGGAGAAAGACGTGAAGGAATAAAACTTTTATTTCCCTTTTATTCTGTCAATGAATTGTCACGGTTTGAGTTCATGTGCAGTTTTATTTTGTAGTTTCTTGTCTCCCTGGGTAACGTCACTTCCTGCCTTGTCCTGGCTGTCCCCCGTGATTGACTGTCGTGTCATGATTGTTTCCAGCTGTTTCCAATCACCTGCACCTCCCAAGTGTATCTAGGTCATGTGTGTTTGTTGTCACTGGTCGCGTCATTGTTAGTTGTTCGTTAGCTCATGTCCATGTCACAGTTGTTGTGGTTTCTCGACTACGTTTTACCTTCTTGGAATTTTTGAGTTTTGGAATTTTTGACTATTAAAGTCTGGAAAACTCTGCGTCTGAGTCCTACCTTCCCCAACGTACCGTCCAGACAGAATGACGCGACCAGAAGAGGAGGCCATCTCGTGGTCGTCCGGCGGCGGATCGCACTGGGAGCGGGTGATGGACCTCGCGGTCCGGCTCTAGGCCACCTACGCTCTCCACGCTCGGCCTCAGCGCACGACGTCCAGCGCTGGGCCGCAGCAGCTTCCCAACACGGCCTCCCGACCCAAGCCCATGACCCCCCCCAGCCGACGCCCCGATCCAGGCCCACGACTCTGGTACGGACCCCCGATTCAATCCCACGACTCCTGTACCGGCTCCCAGATTCAATCCCACGACTCCCGTTCCGGCCCCTCCACTAAAGCCCCCTCCCACCTGTCCCGTGGTCCCCTCCCCCCCATGGCAGGGGTTGGACCGGCGTCCCAGTGCCCAGCCTCCGTGTCCTGCAGCCGGCGACTCCGGAGGCTTTATGTGCCGCGCAGTCGGCAACGACTCCGGCTTCCCTCGCCGCGCAGCCGGCAACGACGGCTTCCCGTTCCAGTGTCCTGCAGTCGGCGCCCGGGAGCCAGACTCCTGACCGTCCTCCGGGCCGACCCCCGGAGCCCCCCCCGGCAGTCTGACCGCCCGCCGGGCCGCCCGCCAGGGTTCTCTGGTGTCCCTCCCGCCCCTTGTCTGTTCCTTGCCAGGTTAGGGCCATCTGGAATTTGGCCCTTGAGGGGGGAGTTCTGTCACGGTTTGGGTTCATGTCCGGTTTTATTTTGTAGTTTCTTGCCTCTTGTCTCCCTAGGTCACGTCACTTCCTGCCTCGTCCTGTCGCCAGTGATTGTCTGTCGCGTCATGATTGTTTCCAGCAATTTCCAATCACCTACCCCTCCGTGGTATTAACGCCATGTGTGTCACGTCATTGTTAATTGTGCGGAAGCCCATGTCCACGTCATAGTTCCTGTCTCCTGTTCCTCAACTACGTTTTGCCTTTCTGGAAATTTGAGTTTGGATTTTTTGACTATTAAAGTCCCTTTTTGTTTCTGGAAAACTGCGTCTGAGTCCTACCTTTACCTCCTCGCACCTTCCTGACATGAATGTTGTTTTATCTTAGCTTCCTGGACACTAACAGCCACACGGTGCCTCGTGCTCTGTATTAAAAGTGTTTTGAGAAAACTTCTGTTATGATTTGACAGTATAAGGTTTCGGATCTTGAGACATGGAGACTGGTGGGACGAACCACCACCGTCTGGTTTGTCACACAGGTTTTGGTTTCCTCACAGATGGAGGGGGGGTGCTCCTTTCATTGAACACAGAGGCCAGGTAATAATACCAAGTAGAGAGAAAGCTGCAATTTCTACATGATAGGAGTCGTCAACATTCGTACTTGTTCCAATCACGTTATTAAAATACTATGAACAATTACCAAACAATGTATTACTCAGCTGCTCACTATTGTTCATAAAATCTTTCTTTGTCTTATTCTATTTCTTCTGTTTTTGGCACTTAATCTATTCAGCTCATTATAGAGAGACTCCTCCTACCTCTTCTACTTTTTAAAATATTCAGCAATATATGGTATTACATTTTTCTTTCCATTGTTTCCGGTTGAAAAAGTCTCAGTCAACACCGGTATCATCAAGTAAAAGCAAGTAAAAGTGTTGGTGATCCACCTTGGATGTGGACGTTCATCTTCTCCACCAGATGAACTGGACATCAATGCACAACATCTTAGAACACAACGTGTGAAAGGGTTACAGGTATTGGAACTCTGAGACAGATATCCAATCTAAGCAGGGTCAAAACCGGGATATCAGTCCAACGGGCAAACAAATCCAGAGGGGCAGGCAGGGAATCCGTAAACGAGAATACATTGTAAAATGTAATTGTTGACCTTACCTAAAAAATGAGTGCCCTTAACTCATTTCTGCTTAATTTGTTGACCATACTGAAGGAAACTTAGTAAAGTACACTTTCTGCCGCGGAAAGTTATGATACTTGTGATTTCAAGTAACGTTTACTTAACCCGGAGATACTCGGCTCTAATACGCATGCGCACTTGACCACCGGAGACGTGATTTCCTTTGAGGCGGCTGCTGGAAGCGGGAAGAAAGCGCTGCTCGGTCCAGAAGGTAAGTTTCAGCTAACGTTTGGAGACCCCGACACGTTACATGATCAAATGTTATACTTACTCGTCCATTTGACATATTATTCACCTGTTAGTTAACGTTAGTTTTTTGGGGGTTAACTTAATCTCTTCGATTTTGAAAGTTAACGTTAGCAGTTAACATTTAAGCTATCGTTAGCTTTCAGTGTGAAACCTTCTAGAATAAATGTAACGTTAAACATAATAACTGTACGTTAGTAACGTTAACTTGCACTGCACTTATACCACATCGCGTTTCACTTAGCACTATTACATTTGATGTTAATGTTAGTTAACCGAAACATGTATTAACTTATTTAACATCCAACAGGACGGTAGCGGTTATTAACGTAATAACGGTTAAACAACGTGGACGCCTAACACGCGTGCACGGTTATTAAGTACCGCACCGCATAGCGGGAGTCACGGTAGTCATTGCGTAAAGACAAATGTAACGTTAGAAAAACTCTCCATTTTAATACTTCTTGAATAAACCTTTTAAGCTCTCCATCTTCTTCCAGACAATTTGTCAAAGGGCAGCATTATCCAAATTTATGATTTCAAAAACTTTAGTTGGTTGCACAACATATGGATAGAAATGCTCATCAAAGCATTGAACTTCAAGCACTGTAATGAGAAAAATTAACTTCCAAATGAGTTTATTTATGTCAATCGTGCTGAACATTTTGGACAGGAGTACATTTTGGTGTGAGCTAATTAACAGACTTAGGGCCACTAAGTCGTAGATGTACTCGAAGAACGAGAACACTGAGCTGAGCGGCAGTGGCGAATTTAAGAAATTTGGGGCCCAAGGCAAAGGCAGGAAGGGGCGGCACGGTGGCGTGGTGGTTAGCACTGTTGCCTCACAGCAAGAAGGTCCTGGGTTCGATTCCGCCCAGGGGCCTTTCTGTGTGGAGTCTGCATGTTCTCCCTGTGTCTGCGTGGGTTCTCTCCGGGTTCTCCGGCTTCCTCCCACAGTCCAAAGACATGCTCTGGGGATCAGGTTCATTGGGGACTTTAAATTGCCCGTAGATGTGTGAATGTGAGTGCGAATGGTTGTATGTCTCTGTGTTGCCCTGCGATTGGCTGGCGACCAATCCAGGATGTACCCTGTCTATCGCCCGAAGTTGGCTGGGATGGACTCCAGCCCCCCCGCGACCCTGTGTGCAGGATAAGCGGTTTGACAATGGATGGATGGATGGCAAAGGCAGGCATGGGGCCCTTTGAAATGAGAAGGCAACGCACAAAGCAGCAGATTAATTATACATACATACATACATTCACAGCGCTTGACTTTTTCCAAATTTTGTTATGTTACAGCCTTATTCCAAAATAGATTAAATTCATTATTTTCCTCAACATTCTACACAAAACAACCCATAGTGACAAAGTGAAAACTGTTTTTGGCAAATCTGTTAAAAATAAAGAATGAAAACATAACATGTACATAAGTATTCGCAGCCTTTGTTTAATACTTTGTTGAAAGCACCTTTTGCAGCAATTACAGCCTCAAGTCTTCTTGAGACGTATTTCTGGGCAGTTTCTCCCATTCTTCTTTGCAGAACCTCTCAAGTTCCATCAGGTTGGATGGGGAGCGTCGGTGCACAGCCAGTTTCAGATCTCTCCAGATTAGATCAGATGTTCAATCGGGTTCAAGTCAGGGCTCTGGCTGGGCCACTCAAGGACATTCACAGAGTTGTCCTGAAGCCACTCCTTTGTTATCTTGGCTGTGTGCTTCGGGTCGTTGTCCTGTTGGAAGATGAACCGTCGCCCCAGTCTGAGGTCCAGAGCGCTTTGGAGCATGTTTTCATCGAGGATGTCTCTGTACATGGCTGCATTCATCTTTCCCTCAATCCTGACTAGTCTCCCAGTTCCTCCCACTGAAAAACATCCCCACAGCATGATGCTGCCACCACCATGCTTCACTGTAGGGATGGTATTGGCCAGGCGATGAGCAGTGCCTGGTTCCCTCCAGACATGACGTTTGGCATTCAGGCCAAAGAGTTCAATCTTTGTTTCATCAGACCAGAGAATTGGGTTTCTCATGGTCTGAGAGTCCTTCAGGCGGGCTGTCATGTGCTTTTTACTGAGGAGTGGCTTCCGTCTGGCCTCTCTACCAAACAGGCCTGATTTGTGGAGTGCTGCAGAGATGGTTGTCCTTCTGGAAGGTTCTCCTCGCTTCATAGAACTACGCTGGAGCTCTGTCAGAGTGACCATCGGGTTCCCGGTCACCTCCCTGACTAAGGCCCTTCTCCCCCGATCGCTCAGTCTGGCTGGGCGGCCGACTCTAGGAAGAGTCCTGGTGGTTCCAAACCTCTTCCATTTCTGGATGATGGAGGCCACTGTGCTCATTGGGACTTTCAATGCTGCAGAAATCTTTCTGTACCCTCTGCCAGATCTGTAGTGTTGTTACCTCCCACCCTCCTGCTTCGAAGCTTGTGTCGAAATATGAACCAGTGCAGGGCGAAGCAATTGTATCGGTGCTCGGTTCGTTCGCTGCTGATCACGTGATCAGTGACGTCCGAAGCTTCGCTCCGGCTCAGTGACGTCATCAGTGACGTCCGAAGCTTCGTTCCGGCGCACAGTCACGTGACAGCTTCGAATTGATTCAAATGGGCGCGAAACAGGATTCGGGCTTGTCTGTTTCATACAGTCAAAGTCAGTGTTGTTGTAGTAGTAGTAGCAAAGAGCAAATTTACAATGGAACCTGTGGCAGAGAGAGGTCGCTCCGAGATGTGGGAGCACTTCAATTTGATTTCCTCTAACAAGGTTTGTAATAGGCAGGGAAAGTCTGTCATTTGTATTGTGTAATTATGGATGTTTATTTTTATTGTGGAGACCACCAGATATTTGGCTGAATCAAACATTCCACAGAGTGAAGACCTGCTAAAATATTGAATCAAACACAAACATGTACCCACATCTATTTGTATTAGCACGTAATCTTTTGAGCATTCCTGCCTCGTGTCGTGTAAGCGCCTTTTTTGTAAGGCAGGGGAAATAGTATCTAAGAAACCGACTCAACCCCAATTCTGTGGAGAAAATTGTGTTTCTCAATAAAAAACAATAATTTCATGCCCCATCCCATGTGTCCACAAGCACTTCAATATCCTGTCATAAGAAACCTGTCCAAAAGCACAATCACTGCCCCACTGACCTTTCCTCTGCAAATCACTTCCCACATTCAAACAATTCACATAAGTCCCTATGACTGCTATGAACTGCACAGTAGGAAGCACTTGCTGATTTTTTAAATTATATTGCTTACATGCTATATATATATATATATATAAAATCTTCTATTATATATATTATATATCTATATATATTATATATCTTCTATTAATTATTCTGCTAGTATGATCACAAACATACATGCACAAAGGTGCAGAAAGATATAGATAAGTGTTTGTTAAACTTCTTTCCAATGTACAGAGAATTGAAATACACAAACAAGGACACAATTCAAACCTGAAAAACAATAGTTTTATTCATATAGGAATCCATGTATTTATTAGATCATTTATTGGTTCAACTTTTCATTATCATGTTCAACCCACAGAGACTGGGCCAAAATATACTGGTGGGCTATTCGATACATTTGCAGTACAAGTTTTCAACAGCAGAGGTCATCATAGAGTTTGCGATGCATTGAATGAATGAACCTTTTTCCGATACAATTGGCTGGAAAGCTTCACTGGTTCAGAAAGCTTCACTTTGCCATCACTACAGATCTGTACCTCAATACAATTCTGTCTCTGAGGTCTACAGATAATCCCTTGGACTTCATGGCTTGGTTTATGCTCTGATATGTCAGCTGTGATACCTTATATAGACAGGTGTGTGCCTTTCTCAATCATGCCCAATCAACTGAATTTAGCACAGGTGGACTCCAATCAAGTTGT